CAGGGACACTCAGCCCAGCCTCTCACCCCAGCTTGTGACGCAGCCAAGGGGCTTAAGGCGAGCTGGAGGCCCAGGGTTGGTGGTCCTGCCCCAAGGATGGTGCTGTGGGGTGGGCACAGAACCCCCTGCCACGGCAGACATCCCACAGAATGTGTGACACCCACCTGCCCTTCAGGTGGTCACACTGCATCTGAACAAGCTGTGGGTGACAGCCACGTCCCCTGCCCCTTCAGGGGAGCAGGTACATCTAGGGAGGGGGGAGCACAGGGCTGTGTCTACCCTGGCTTGTTGTTCTCAGCCCCACAGAGCCCCTTGCAGATGCAAAGCCCTGCAGACAGGCAGGTGATATGGGGACACTGCCTGCACCCCAAGTCTCAGCCAGTCTGGAGTCAGGGCACAGTGACCTGCTGTGATGCAGCAGCCAGCAGTCAGAAAGGCACCTTGTCCTCATGACCAACCAATCCTACCCACTCCCCCAGCACCAGCCCCATTCCTCTTTCCAAAACTTCTCCTGCCACCACAGCACAGGGCCAACCCCTCCCCAGGGAGCCCACAACCAGGACCAGGGGGCTACAGACAAGAGTTGGCTTTATTCACGGACACGGGGGCAGCTGTGTCACTGGCAGCTGCCCTCGTATTGCACATCCAGCGACGGGGGAATATCCATGCCACGTCACAACACAGCATCGGCACTATGGGACCTCAGGGGAGGCGCAGGCACCGTCACCACCCAGCAGGCTGGGGAGCGGGCTGGGGCGCCCAGGGTTCACAAAGGCAAAAGACCCGTCCACCCATAGATAGAGAGAGATACATATATACAAAAAAAAAAAATAGTTCCACGATGACCAGAGCAGAACCACAGGGACACGCGTGCAAGCGAAATGTACAGCAGCCCGCGAGCAGGTAAACATGCTTTGTACACACACAGACACGCCGGGACGCAGCCGGGGTTTATGGTGCTGGGAGGGAGACAGAGCCATAAACCCGGGCTTCACACACACACACACACGCTCACGCACGCACACACCGGCCCCTGCGGGCAGCACCCACGGCTCGGGCACGCGCCGGGGCTTGGGGGCTTGGACACAGCGGGTGTTTCTCACTGCTAGACATGGTACGGAGACACGGACACGGTCCCTTGGAACGGAACTGGAGGAAGAACTCGTGAGCGAACGGGGCAGGGGCACCCCTGCTCCTCCCTGGCACGCGGGCACCGGCCGGGGCCGGCTGGAGAGGAGCAGGGGGCTACCGGCGGTTCGTTGTGCTGCTGGTGGAAGAGGCAAGGATGGGGGTCCATTATGCCTCTGGCTCGTATTCCTGGTATTCCTCCTGCGGGATGGGGAAGGAAAGAGCCAGTGAGAGAGATCAGGTGGGGCACAGAGCCTCCCTCTTTGCTCTGGACAGCGCACTGACCACTGTCACACTGTGTCCACTGTGCCACCCTGTCCCCTCACCTGTGGGGGTTCCTCGTAGTTCTCCCCCTCTGGCTCCAGCAGCGGCTCCACCAGTGGCTCCTCCACAGCCTCCTGGGCCACCTCCTCTGCCTGAGAACGAACCAGGAGGTCAGTGCCACACACACAGACACAGCACCCACCCTCCCTGCCCCTGCCAGACCAGCAATGCACTCAGGATACAAGGTGCTGCATGGGGATGCTGGGCACACAGCACCTAGCTGGGAGGTGGCACGCACAGGTCTGTGGGAGCAGGGGCTGTGTGTGTATGTCCCTGTATACCCTATCCCCAGCCTCGGGCTGGCACCACGTGTGCCTCGACAGGCTCCAGGAGCTGGCAGAGCTGCGGGAGCATCCTGCATCCCTGGCAGGGGAGGGCGGTGCTGGGTAACCCCTCCCCGGGGCTGGCAGGCGGGAAAGGGGGGCAGCCAATCCCCCTGTGCAGCGGCGGCGGTGGCCTCATTTCTTCAGCTGATGCTATTTTGGGCTAAGCTGGAAGCCAAGGGCTCATGGGGCGGCGAGCTGGAAGCCGCTGCCCCTCCCGCAGCTGTCAGGTCACCTCGCAGCCGCCGGCGCGCCGCGCCGCAGGCCGGGCCGCCATGGCAGGCCCCGAGCGCGCACACGTCCGCAGACGCTCGGGGCCGCGACGCCCGGGCGCCAGGAGACCACCTGGGCACCCTCCTGGTCTCTGCTGAGGGACTGGGGGACGGCCAAAGGGCTCCTCGCCAAGCCTGGGGGTGTGCCAGCCTCGCCACGGGCATGGCGGTGCCGGGGGGCTCTCACCTTCAGGTCTGCGGGGAACTCCTCCTTCTTCACCAGCCCGGTGGCCGCCGCGATGTTGCCGGCGCCGGAGAACGCTGCTTCGCCCAGCTGGGACGCCTGCTCCTTGGCTTTCTCAGCCACTGCAAGGGCCGGGGGCGCCCGTCAGTGCCACCCCCCGTGCCACAAAGGGTGCCCAGCTGTGGCTTCATGCCCACCCACGGGGGAGCTGGCGGGGGGATGCTGGGCAGGATCAGGCTCTTCCCACTTCCTCGCCCTGGTGGGGAGGGGAAGGGAGGGGAGGGGGCCATGGCACTGCTCTGCAGCTGGGCAAGGAGTGTGAGCAGCCGCCGCAAATCCTTGGTTGCCGGCCCTGTTATATAAGAGGCTTTAGCAGAGTGACATCAGCCCCTCAATTAGCCTCTGATCTCGTTAGAGTGGCCGGGGGGCCGGAGGGGCACCGCGGCAGGAAGGCAGAGGGGCCCGTACCTGAGGTTACGCCTTGCACCACACCTTGGGTTTTACTCCCTGGGGGTAGAAAGAGACAGAGATCGGGTTAGAGGGACTGGCAGCTGGGCTCCAACCTGTGCCATGCCCGGGACCCTGGCAGGGCTCTGAGCCAGGCCAGCAGCCTGTCCACACGCCCTGCCAGGGCACCTGGGGTGCTGAGCACCTGCCTGGCTCCCCTCAAGGCTCCTGTTGTCCCTGCAGGAGCCAGAACTGGGGCAGCACAGGGCTGTCACCACGTGCCAGGCAGGGCAGAGACCCCCGGGCCCAGCACTGTGTCAGGGCACAGCCAGGCAGGGCGAATGCAAGCTGTGCTGCTGAGAAAAACCTTCCACAGGATCCAGACCTAGAGCTGGTGCCAACAGAGCACGGCAAGCCCCACAGCTGGAGTGCCCAGAGCTGGGTGCTGCTGCTGGCTGTGCCAACCCTGCCAGGCTCCCTTGGGCAGAGCAACACCACCCAGGATACCCTATGGAACGGGAGTGGGCTCCTGTAGGATGGAGCCTCAGGCTGTTCCTTGAGCTGCTGGACCCCAGCAGATACACCCTAGCAAGGATGGGGTCCCAGGGCAGGTGCCCACCACTGCCCAGGGAACAGTTTTGGGGCCTCAGCTCTCCCACAGGACTTGTGCCCTCTGGAGCAGAACAGACCTCAGCCCTGCGCCCTCCCCCTTCCCACTGCAAGCACAGTTGGCCTCAGCTCCCTCCCTGGGCATTCCAGCACCACAGCCAGGCACACAGACTGCCCAGGAACTGCTCCTCCTGCCAGCCATGTCTTCTAGGACTTGGCCCCGAACAGATCCCGCCCCAAGGGGCAGCACGGAGGGTGCAGAGGAGATGCCCGTGTGGGATGAGTTCCAGGGCATTACCTCTCCAAGAGGGACAAACGCAGTCCCCACCCCCCTGCCCCAAAACAGGCACATCCCAGCACAGGGGTCACACCTCCATCATGGTCCCTCTGCTTCCCTGCCCCAAAGCATCCCCGGCGCAGAGCTGAGAGACCCTCAGGCTCAGGCTGGGAGCTGCAAGGGGTGCAGTCCCCGAGGGCTCCATCCCCTCAGCCTGGGGACCAGTCCCCGGCTCTGCTCCTGCCTGCCGAGCCCACTCTCCTGCCCTGCAGATTCCCGGTGGGCAGCGAGGCACTGCGGGCACCGGCCCTCTGCCCGGAGCGCTCCGCCGCAGGGTGGTCGTGGCGGGGAAGGAGCCAGGGACGGGAGGGGACAGGAGGAGACGGCAGGGGGATGGGCGGGAGGACGCAAGGGCAAACGCAGGAGCAGGCAAGGGCAGGCAGAGAGGGCCGGCAGGGACGGGCAGAGATTAGCCGGGGGTGGGGATGCAGGGGGCTGGCAGGGGGCAGGCAGGGCAAGCCGGTCCTTACCGACATAGAGGACCCCTTCCTTGGTCTTCTCCGCCGCCTCGGCCACCCCCTGCTTGGTCTTCTCAGCTGCGGCGACCACCCCCTCCTTGGCCTTGGACAAGCCCTTCATAAACACCTCCATGGCGGCTCTGCGGGGAGAGGCCGCAAGGCTTCACCCGGCCCCGCGCATCCCATCCCATCCCGCAGCGGCGCCGCCGGCCCTTCGCCGCCCCAGCCCCGCAGGATCCTTCCCCGCACTGCGCGGCGCCCCGGGGCACTCGTTCTTCGCATCGCCATCGCTCAAAGTGATCCCACCCCACGCTGTCCCCACGCTATTCTGTCCTGACCCCCATGGCATCCTATCCACCCTCTCCCGGTCACATCTCCTCCCGTGCCTTGTCCCATCTCGTCCCGATCCCACTGCTTTCCATCTACAGGCTGCACTTACCCCATTCCATCCTTACTGCCATCCAGCTCGCTCCACATTCCACCCTGTCTCTATGCCGTTCCCATCCCCTCCTCGTCATGTCCTCTTCCCACCTCATCCCACCCCATTCCCATCCCACCATGTCCAGCTCTGAACCCATCCCCTCCCCATCCCGTCCTGACTCCATCCTACCCATCCCATCCCATCCTATCCCTACCTTCCAGCCTGATGCTATCCCACCCTCTCTGTACACCCTGCCCTGCCCCCACCACACCATGGTCCCCGCACATGGTGCCCAACTTACGCAATTCCGCTCCCTCATCCTGGTCCCATCCCACTCTGAGCCCCTGTCCTCACCCCCAGCTCCCTGCCCTAGAGAGGGATCCCCCATCTCTCTGCTCCCCAGGAGGGGCAGGGCTGGCTGTCTCCCCAGGATACCACCCACCCACCCCCAGCTGCAGCTGGGAACGCTCCTCATCCCACCTGCCTGTGGGTACTTAAGAGCCAGAGCTGCCCAGCAGAGCCTCTGCTGCTCAGGATGGCTACAGGGGAGCAGGTGGGTGCTCGCCCTGTGGCTGGGCAGGCTGTGGAACACAGAACCCCCTGCCAGCCCTCGGGGTGCCCCGTGCAGGCAGCTGGGGGGCTGCAGGCTCCCTGCTGGGGTGGTCATGGGGCTGTCCCTCCTTCCTCCGCAGAGGCAACAGGAGCGGCGCCGGCAGAGGGCTCGGCAGCACGAGCTGCTCCCGGCAGAGATCCAGGGCAAGCACCCCCTGCAGAACAGGTATGGGAGGCCTGGCCATGGACAGCCTCTCCCGGCACTGGGAGGGGTGTGTGGGGGCTGGAGGGGGACTCTGGCATGATTGAACACCCCATTTCCCCTCTGTCCCCAGATGGGCACTCTGGTTTTTCAAGAATGACAAGAGCAAGATGTGGCAGGCAAACCTGCGCCTCGTCACCAAGTTCAGCACTGTGGAGGACTTCTGGGCGTGAGTGTGCTTTGGGTGGGCACACACGCTGTGTCCCTGCTGGAGATGTTCTGGTGGGAGGGGTGTGAGCCTGAGGCACCAATTCTCACCTGCTTCTGTGTCTCCATCTAACACAGGCTGTACACTCACATCCAGCTCGCCAGCAAGCTCGCAGCTGGCTGTGACTACTCCCTCTTCAAGGTACAATACCCCATCCTCAGAATCCCCCCAACAGCAGCATTATGGGGCACACTGGGTGCTGGTAAGGCTGTAAGGTGGGAGGGGAAGTCTGGCTGGATGTTCACAGCTCCCCAGGCCAGCTCTGGCCAGTACTTGGTGGCCCTGACCGTGCCCTTGCCTGCCCCTAGGATGGCATTGAGCCCATGTGGGAGGACAGCCAGAACAAGCGTGGTGGGCGCTGGCTCATCACCCTGGCCAAGCAGCAGCGGCACACCGAGCTGGACCGCTTCTGGCTGGACACAGTGAGTGCTGCCCCACTCGAGGCTCCTGCCTGGGGCGTTCCCCCTGCCCCGTGGGGACTGTGCCAGGCTCCCCTTCTCCTCCCCACAGCTGCTGTGCCTCATTGGGGAGATGTTTGATGAGTACAGCGACGAGGTGTGCGGGGCCGTCATCAACATCCGCACCAAGGGGGACAAGATTGCCATCTGGACCCGGGAGGCGGAGAACCAGGAAGGGGTCACCCACATTGGGTAATGCAGCTCTGGGGGAGGCTGCACGGGGAGTAAGGGCTCCCCCTGCCTGGGGAAGCAGGCACAATGGGAGAAGTGCTTCATGCATCCCCTTCTCTCCTCCAGGCGAGTCTACAAGGAGCACCTGGGCCTGTCACAGAAGGTGGCCATCGGGTACCAGGCTCATGCAGATACAGCCACCAAGAGCGGCTCCCTGGCCAAGACCAAGTTTGTGCTGTGACTGTGCAGAGAGTGTGGAGCTGCCTATGAAGTCCCCATGTTCTGTCTCACAATAAATTTCTGCATCTCAGCATGATCTGTGTGTCCAGGGCCCTTGGCAACCTGGGGTGGCCCCTGTTTGTTGGGGACATTTCCTGGGAGGGAGATGATGATGTGCCAAATCCTGGCCCCTCCATTCAGGGTGGCATCACAGTGGGCTTGGGACATTGCACATGTCCCCTCACCTCCCCTACAGCCTGGGACAGGTGCCCCCCTCCCTGAGGCTGTGGGGGTGTTTCCTGTGTTTTGGGGGGCCCTGGATAACCCCCAGAAGGATGCTATTCTGTCTTCCCCTGGCCAAGGCATAGGCACAGCTCACTGCCCTGAAAACCTGGGCATGGGAGGGACTACTGAGGCCCGACTCATCTGGGTCAGCTCAGCCTGGGGAGCTGGTCCACTTTTCTCCTAAGTGCCTGCACATCTGTGGGACAGGGGTCTGCCTTCTCAGGAGGATCAGTTTCCCAGCTGAGGGCTGGCAGTGTCCCTGCAGGGTGGGTGCTGGGCTGCAGCACAGCATGGTCCCCACGCTGCATCCCCTCCCACAGACACTTACAGCACAGGTGCTGTGAAGCTCATTTTCTTCCCAAGGTTTTGTTGGTGCCACACCTGCAGGTTCACAACCTCAGTCTTTTGAGCCCTGGGACTTTTCTGGCTCCTCCTTTCCATGGCTCATGTCTTCTGCTGTCCCTTCTGGTGGTCCTGGCCTCCCATACTCTCTTCCAGCCCCATCCCACACTCTGTCCTTTAATCTTTTATTTGTATGTTTGATTGTTGTAGCTGTGCTTCCCTGCCTAGTCAGATTGCAGGGGTGGAGCTGTCTGCTCACCCCTGACAGTGGCAGCTGCAGTTCTGCCCTCACTGCAGCTCTCACCCAGGATACTTCCACTCTCTCCAGCAGCACCCAGGCTCCATCTCAGCCCGGGGCTGCACCTTGTCCAGGGCCACATGTCCAGCCTAACTGTGCCACCTCATCAGCCCAGAGCCAGGGCTGCTTGTGCCCTGCTGTGATGGCTCAGTGCTGCCCTGCCTGCAGACAGGCTCTGCAGAGACCTGGTCCTGCAGAAGGATGAAGTATTAACCCCTCTGCTCTTAGAGCTGCTTGTCACCTGTCTGGTCACAGCTTGACAGGCAGCTGGTGTGGCTGTGTCACCCGGGGTCCCGCCTGCCTGCAGTGCAGCCTGTGGGGGTGAGCTTGCTGAGCCCTGCAGCTGCCGTGGCTGCAGAGAGCTGTGTCCCTGGGCCTCAGCTGCCTTTCTGCAGGAACAGCAGCCTTGCAGCTCCCCGAGGGCAGGGCAGGGCCCTCCACCACCCAGAACTGCCCCTGTTCCAGACAGAGGGTGATACTAGAGCCCAAAGACAGGAGCTCATCCCTGGCAGGCAGCGGGTCAGGCCATGTCCCTGTGTCCTTGCATCGTGTGATGGCTTTGTGTCTTTTCTCTGTGCAGGTGCAAGGGCAACAGCATGGCACTGCCCTCCCCAGCAATGTAGCACCCCAAATTGTGTTACAGGCAGCAGGACTGGCATGAGGGGATGCAGTATGGGGATGTAGCACCCCAAATTGTGTTACAGGCAGCAGGACTGGCATGAGGGGATGCAGTATGGGGATGTAGCACCCCAAATTGTGTTACAGGCAGCAGGACTGGCATGAGGGGATGCAGTATGGGGGGTAGCACCCCAAACCGGGGGTGCTGCCAGCGGGGATCGGGATCTGGCTCTGCCTGCCTTGTCCCCCGGTCCCGCACGGGCACGGTGTGCCGGCAGCCCTGCTCTGCCTGCACCGCCGCTCGCTCGCCACGCGATGGTGCCGCTCGCCCGGCCTTGGCCGGCTCTGGATGGCAGCGATGGCAGCTTGTCCTGCCTGCTCCGGGGTCCCTGTCTGCCCTGCCCTGCCAGCTCTGGGGTCCCTGCCTGAGGTGGGGTCACAGCGCTACCCCAGCCGCCCCCCACTCCGCCTCCCCCAGGAATGACAGACAGGCAGGGCCACGCGTGGGGCTGGCAAGGCTGAAGCCGGAGGAGGGGTTGCTGAGACCCCCTGAAATGCGCCATTAATGCCCCTCCCCAGCAGTGACAGCGTCGAGCGTGTGAGAGGCAGGGGTTGTCTGTCCCTCTGTCCCTTCAGCCTGCTGCTTGTCTCACATGGCCCTGTCACTGCCTCCCAGCTGGCTCTAGGGCACCCTGCAGCCAGGCTGTCCTTGTCCCCGTACCCCAGCAAGGGCGCTGTGCTCACGGGGTGCCCTTGTCCCCTCACGTCACAAGGCCAAGGTTAGCTGGGGCAGGAGGGCGTGCAGAGGCTGCTGCAGTGCCGTGGTTCATCACCATTCTCATGTAGGCACAGTGGGATTTCTTTTGATTGGAAAAATAATAGGAGCCATTTATCTCCATGGCTTTATGGGTTCCCATCAGCTCTGCAGCCCAGCCAGGCTGGGGGGCTGGCAGTGCCCACCCAGAGCCTGCCTTTTGGGGACACAATGACCTTCATCCTCGACTTTTGTACCCCACAGTCTCTGTCTGAGGGCCAGAGAGTGCTGGGGGGGAACACAAAATTACCCCCTGTGTGGGCACAGCAGTTGCCAGGAGCCACACAGGGAGTAGAGCAGTGCCAGGGCTGCCCCCGGCCTATCTCATGCTGGGCAGCTGTCCCAGCTGGCAGCCGAGCTGGCAGCCCTGTCAATAATAATAATTAAAAATTAATACTAATCAAAAGGGAGAGGCAGATGGCAGCAGACATGCGGCAGGGCTGGAGGTGGGGGTGGGAGGCACAGCAGACAGAGGGGCCTGCAAGGACAGGGCTGGGGGGGCCAGGAGTGCTGTGGGGTCCAGCGGGGTTGGGGGTGCAGCCAAGGGACCCACGTGGCACGAGAGAGGTGGGGGATATGGGGCTGGGGTTGCTGTGGGGCACAGCAGGATTGGGGATGGACTGCGCTGCTGCAGGGATGGGCTCCTGTGTCCCCCTTTCTGTGCAGGGGCTGTGGGCCAGTGGTGCTGGGTGCCCCTGCTGGGTTACCTTGTCAGCAGCTGGCACGCAGCCATGGCCAGGCACTGCCAGTCCAGCTTCTCCCTGAGCCACCAGCTAAGCAGCAAGGACAGATCCTGCCCCTAGAACACCACCCCAGCAGGCGCCCATTCCTGCAACCAGTGAGTGCTGCAGGGTTAAAATCCCCCAGAGGAGTGGGGAAGGAGCTGCTGGCTCGGAGCAGGGTGCGTGGGCCGGGAAGAACAGGCAGCGCTGGCTCACCGTGGGAGTGGGCAGCAGCACGGCTGCTGAGGCTGAGCCACGCTGCTCCCGCAGAGCCTGAGCCCACCTGCCTGCCCTGGCACCCCGCATGGGACCCTGGGGGGACTCTGGACCTTGCAGAAGAGGTGTGGGTACAGAGGGGACCTCCGTCCCTGGCTGCCACCAGCATCCCCATGCATTCCTGGACTGGAGCTCCCCGTGCCCTCCCTGCCAGGCCCTGGAGGGGCACAAGCTGCAGCGACCCTCCACTCAGAATCACCGTGGCATGCAAGGAGGGGTGCCCAGGGTGAGGGGTACCTACAGTGCACCGTTCCCATGACAACCTCCCGGCAGAGACAGCAGTCGGCGCGGGAGATGTGGGAGGCGAGGGGCTGTGGACCCACCGGGCATGGGCTGCCACGCCTGGCAGGACACGGGGGCACGGCACAGGGGCTGCACCTCTGCTTCTTGCTGCCCCACTCGGGCTCTGCCTGCTCCATCCTGTGTCTTGCAGCTCGGGACAGGCCAGCACGGCACTGCTGGTGCTGGGCTGCTGCCCTCCAGCTGCAGCTGCACGGTGGGGAAATGGTTAAATGCCTGCAGGGCTGTCCCCAGTGCCAGCAGCAGAAGAGGCAAAGACGGGGACAGAATCTCCTGCCCTGCGCCTCAGGGAGCCTGTACCTGAGAAGGGTCCTTTGCTGTCACTTCTCATCTGGGTGGATAGCAGGCTCTGCAACACGGCTGAGCACTCTCCTTCCCCGCAGGGACGGGCTGGCACTTCTCGCTTGGCAGAGGCAGGCGGGTGGGATGGGGACAGGGACGGGAGCTGTGTGGCCACAAACCTGCAGGCATGTCTGCAGCACGGGGCTGCGCAGACAGTGCCACCACCCCTCTGGGGTGTGTTCTGCTGCTCCTGCATCATGGCTGGGTGCCCCCCAGATGGCTGGCATGTGCCCACAGAGCCTTTATCTCCACCGGTCGCCGTGTCCATACTGTCCCCAAACTCTGGTGCTGCCCCTGCCCTCAGCTCCCACAGTGGATGCCACCAGCTCCGAGGGACCACCCTGCACCTCCCTCAGCACAAATGCATCCAAGCATGAGCACCCCCACGTCCTCCCGGCGTGACACAGGACCAGCCGTTCTCCCGGTTCACAGGGGAGCAGGTGGCAGCCCCGAGGCTGCAGGGACACAGGGCACGTGGCAGTGCCCGTCCTTTCCCTCCTGGCCCTGTGCAGCCCGGTGTGCCCTCACAAGGGGCTGCACCCACTGCCACCCCCTTCCTCGGGGGCTGCCAGGCTCCTTGCATGCCCCAGCTCCGCAGCTCCGCCTGCGAGGGCTGGAGTTTCCCGGGCGGTCGATGCGCCCATCGATCCCGCACAGCTCCGCCGGCTGCTCTCCCACCGCCCTGCTAATTAATTGGCTGCTGCTGCTGCTGCTGCTGCTGCTGCTGCTGCTGCTGTGGCAGTGCTGGGCACGGGGTGCTTGGGCTCCCTGCAGCCTGCCCTGCCTCACCCTGCCCTGCCAGCACAGGGGCTTTGCCCCACACACGTCAAAGAGCCAGCACCCACCCCCAACCCCCCTGTACCCCAAAGTGGGGGCTCCCTGTCAGGCTGGGCACGGGACTGACTGGCCCAGGGCAGGGTGAGTGGTACAAAGGATGGCTGGGCACAGCAAATGGCCACTTGCAGCCCATGCCCAGAACGACCTCACGCTGCTCACAGCTGTGCCCACCCCAGCCTGCCCCAGCCTGGTGTGGGGACAGGGATGGGGACTGCCTTTGTGCCAGTCTGTAATGAGATTTCTGCTTGGCTGCCTGG